CATACTAGCCCCTCCTCAACTGGGGGAAACTAATACTGAGACCCCTTATTGAGACCTCCTCATACTGAGCCCCTTAACTGAACCTCCTCTCTGAGACTCCTCATACTGGGCCCTCTCAACTGAGCCCCTATACTGAGATTTTACTGAGACCTTTATACGAGACCTCCTCATATGAGACCCCCCTATACTGGACCTCCTTACTGAGACCTTATACTGAACCCCCCTATACAAACCTTATACGAGCCCTCCTCATACTGAACCTCCTCATACTGAACCTCCTCATACTGGCCCTCGAGTCCTCATACTGAGACCCCTTTACTGAGCCCCTCCTCAACTAACCTCCTTTATCCTCCTTATACAACCTTTATACTAACCCTTAACTAGACCCCCTCTACTGGCCTCCTAACTGGCCCTTTATACTGAAAATTTCCCCAGTCATTTCAGATCTACACGTGCCTAGAGGACATGGGTTAGGGACTAGAAGATAAGGGTAAAGGGGTTAAGGTTGGGGTCAGGGGTTAGGATTTTAGGGGTATGGTTTTAGGGTTAACAACAACCCCTTTGAAAACCCTGGGCCCCGTAACACAACACCTCTTTAGAAATCCTCTCTCGACCTCCTGCTCAGGGGAAGTAGATCACTGGATTGCTGAGTGGCCTTTAAATGCCATGGATTTTTTTGTTTGGGATCCATCTTAACAGAGGGGGCCATCTTAGACCACTTTTGAAGACCCGGCAAGCCATAGCCCGACATGGGCCGCGTTCCAAATGGCCCCTATTCCCTGCATAGTGCACTCCTTTTGACCAGGTTCCTTTTAAGTGTGACTATAGGAATAGGGGGCCATTTGGATCCACTATTTTCAATACCAATATGGCAAAAGGAAAAAAAAAATTTTGTGGGGCAATGCCAACCACTACTGACCTGCCACCGTGGATTGCACTCTGACGTTTAGTCTCCTTGCTCTCTCTCTCTCTCTGCTCAACATCTTTCCTGCTAAAACCCCTCACACACCCCCCCAAATTTTTCTCTCTCCTCTCCCTCTTCTCGCCTATTCTCTCTCTCTCTCTCTCTCCTTCTTCTTCTCCCTCTCCCCTCTCCTCCCCCTCTCTCTCTCTCTCTTTCTCCCCTCTCTCTCTCCTCTGGTCTCCTCTCTCCCCCTCTCTCTCTCTTCTGGTTTGCTGAAAGGGGTTGCTTTTTGGGGAAACTCAAAAAGAAGAATTGGTTAGGTTTGAGAAAAGGGGGAAGAGAACAAAGGGGGAAAAAAAAAGGAAGAAGGAAAAGGTAGAGAGGGGAGAGGGGGAAAAGGGGAGAGGAGGGAGAGAGAAGAGAAGAGAGGAGGAAGAGAGAGAGAAGAGAAGGAGAGAGAGGAAAGGGGGAAGAGAGAGGAGGAGTTGGGGGGGTTTTTTTTTCCCCCACTCCCGGCCCCCCCTTCTTTTTCCTCTTTTCGTTTTCTTCCCCTTTTCCTTAAAACCGATCCTCCTCTGCCCCTCTTTTCCCTATTTTGTCCTTTTCTTTAAAATTTCCCTTTTCGGTCCTCCCCCTCCTTTTGTCTCTTCGGGGTTTTTTCCTACCCTCCCCTCCCCCCCTTTACCAAGTACGAAAGACTGGGTTCCCTCTTTATCCGAGATTTTTTTTTTTGGTTTTTTTGTTGGTTTTTTTTAGAGGGTAGATCAGCTTAATATTGCAGATAGATTGTAACTTCCATCAATGTAATTGTCTGCATCACTTCCAATCCCCCATGTTTTATATATATATATTCCCCTTCATTACTTTCCAACCCCGCCACCCTTTCCCTACTTGGGGTAAACTAGTGAACAACAATGCTTAGGCCTCTACTTCCAGCTTATACTTACTATCTACATTTTATGGACACAGTCAAAAGTGTTAGATTTAAAGTGTTAATAGCAGTTGAAAAGTACTTCAAAAACATTCATGAAAATTCATAGACTTCATGTATTTTATATGTTTATTATAATAAATATACTGAATGTCTTTTACATGTCTATTATAATAAATCGAATTAATTGTATGTACTCTATTTGAAACAGGAACACAATATTTACAAACAAACCCAGTTTGCAAACTCCTGCAATGTATGCATTAAAACAAATACTGCTCCAGGCCTTGGTAATGTAAAGGGAACAGGCATTTGATATATTGTGGATGGATGGATGGATGGATGGATGGATGCATGATGGAGAAAAAAAACTAATATGAAACTGACATTGAAAATAGATGGATGTGAAATTTCAATAGCAACAGTGTTTAACCATTAGATGTGTCCTCTTTCACACCATCTCTCCCTTCTCGTGAACATACATCTACCCTCCCTAGACCTAGACCCTTCTCATGAACATACATCTACTCTCCCTAGACCTAGACCCTTCTCATGAACATCCATATACTCTCCCTAGACTAGACCCTTCTCATGAACATTCATCTACTCTCCCTAGACCTAGACCCTTCTCATGAACATACATCTACTCCCCTGATACCCTTCTCATGAAAATCATTTCCCTAGACTAACCCTTCTCATGAACTTCCCTGCCCTAACCTAGCCCTTCTCATAACATAACTCTCCCCCAGACCTAGACCCTTCTCTGACAACATCTACTCTCCCTAGACCTAGACCCTTCTCATGGAACATACATATACTCTCCCTAGACCTAGACCCTTCTCATGAAATACATCTACTCTCCCTAGACCTAGACCCTTCTCATGAACATACATCTACTCTCCCTAGACCTAGACCCTTCTCATGGACATTCTCTATTTAGGATAATACTTAGACCTGCCTGTGCAATCATGTGGAGCCATACACGCTCTGGCTCCCTTTCCAAACCTAACATCTCATCATTCTAAAAATAAATCTAGTGCAATTTCTTATAAAGATGCTGAATACATTCAGAAAGGCTCTACGAGGCCGAGTAACTCCTTACATGGATGTGTCTCAAAGCTTGCGTCCCAAATGACACCCTATTCCCTTTATAGTGCACTACTTTAGACCAGAGAATGGCACCCTATTCCCTAATGAGACTACTTTAACCAGAGAATGGCCCCTATCCTATATAGCACTACTTTAGACCAGAGAATGGCACCCATTCCCTATATAGTGCCTACTTTAGCCAGAGAATGCACCCTATTCCCTTATAGTGCACTACTTTAGACCAGAGAATGGCACCCTATTCCCTATATAGTGCACTACTTTAGACCAGAACCCTATGGAAATGGCACCCTATTCCCTATATAGTGCACTACTTTAGACCAGAGAATGGCACCCTATTCCCTATATAGTGCACTACTTTAGACCAGAGAATGGCACCCTATTCCCTATATAGTGCACTACTTTAGACCAGAGAATGGCCACCCTATTCCCTATATATGCAAATGCCCTTCCTTATAGACCTAAATTTAACCAGAGAATGGCACCCTATTCCCTATATAGAGCACTACTTTAGACCAGAGAATGGCACCCTATTCCCTATATAGTGCACTACTTTAGACCAGAGAATGGCACCCTATTCCCTATATAGTGCACTACTTTAGACCAGAGAATGGCACCCTATTCCCTAATAGTGCACTAGTTTAGACCAGAGAATGGCACCCTATTCCCTATATAGAGCACTACTTTAGACCCAGAGAATGGCCCCTATTCCCTATATAGTGCACTACTTTAGACCAGAGAATGGCACCCTATTCCCTATATAGTGCACTACTTTAGACCAGAGAATGACCCCTATTCCCTTTATAGTGCACTACTTTAGACCAGAGCAAGGATTTCATTTTTTTTGCCATCAGGCAGAGAGAAAATGTGGCTGTTTTATAGTGAATTCCCTGCTATTCTACACGTTGCCATGGTGCTGTGAGCTCGCCTAGGCAGAGAGCTCCTGTACATTTTGTCAATATTTAATATTTTTTATTTGTTTTTTTTTGTTTGAATATTTTTATTTTATTTTTTGTTTTGAATAGTTAAATGAGTATAGATTAAGTCTGTTTGTTTCCTGCCCGCGAATTTGATGGAAAATCAGCTCTTTCAACATAGCTAGCAAGCTTTGATGTGAATACACCTTGTTTCTATGGTCTCCTGACCCATGAGGAGGACTGCAATGGATGGCGAGCTGGCAGTGATGATTCATTGCTCAGTCTGAGGATTCCTCTGAAGTATTGTGCGGGCTGACATCATTGAGTTAGTGGGAACTTAACCTTGTACAAGGCTTTCAGACAGCGGGTGAGACGCCTTGAATGGAGAGTGAACAGTGCTACCTGCCTGCCACCGGAGGACCTGCTCATCTATAATAATAATAATAAGCCATTTAGCAGACGCTTTTATCCAAAGCGACTTACAGTCATGCGTGCATACATTTTTACGTATGGGTGGTCCCGGGGATCGAACCCACTACCCTGGCGTTACAAGCGCCGTGCTCTACCAGCTGAGCTACAGAGGACCACTGTAGCTCAAGCTATGTGGATCCCTCTCGACTGTCGCTCCATATGTTGGAGGCTTGAAACACCCAAAACGTACAACTCTAGCTGACAATTGTTGTTGTCCAGACCTACTCTCTGTTATGTAGCTACAAAGGCTATACATTTAATATGATGATTGTTTCTTTTTCGTTTCAAGCATTGTGAGATTCTATCTGTAATGAAAAGATCTATAGAAGCTGAATAAATTATTATTATTATTATTATTATTATTATTGTGAGGCTGAGAGATAATGTTGCAGTTATCTAATAACTCCTTGCAGTGGCTCTGGTCAGAAGTAGCGCACTATTTAGGGACTCGTGTGCCATTGGGACGCATGCGTAACAGTTTTCAGCAAACTGGACAGCTCATCTATGTCTCGGGAGGCGCCGGTCTCTTTCTCCTCAACAACAGAGCCGTTTCTCCGGGGCAAATAACCTGCCCAGTGTCCATCCCGGGCTGTGTCTGTCTCTGAGCCGCTCCCGCTGTTTATCTGTGGAGTAGTCCCAGGCTGGCTCAAAACGTTCAATACTGAGTATCCTATCCACCGATTACGAAGTATCCTAGAATCCCGGCGACTACTACAATAGCGACGAATATGAACCCGGCGACACACGTGATCATTCCGTTATTGTCGCCACCTTCGTCCATCTCGTCTTTGGGCTCCTCTTCGCAGATGGAAATGACGCCCACGGAGGAGTTCCCGACGCTCAGGGTGGATTTGAGCTCGGCGCCTGCCTCCTGCTTGGCCTCCACGGCCCACGGAGCCACCTGCACCTTCATCTCCATCTCCTCCATCATCTGGCCCACCTGGGTGATCTCAGCCTGGAGCTCCTTCAGGTCGGCAGTGTCGATGTTGCTGTCCCCGTCGTATTTCATGTTCTGCACGGACATGGCCCTGGCGGCCACCGTGGTGGTGCTACCGGTCATGCCCGTCTGGATGAGGTGTCTGGTGGGCACCTTGAGAGGGAACTCCTGCCCTATCTCCAGGCTCCGCTTCATGTCCACTTCCAGCAGCTCCATGTTGCTGGTAAACACCACCCATAGCCTCTCGTACTCAGCCCGGTCGTCCTTGCTGGTGGTCTTGTCTTTGAGCAGCGCGGTCAGTTTATTCCGGTTGGCGACCGCGAGCTCCTGGGCTTTCTTCCGGGTCTTCTTGAGTTCCTCTCGCAGGTTCTGAGAGTCCGACGTGCTGCCCAGCGCGATCACCAGGTGCCTGTAGCACGCTGTCACTTTGTTCAGAGCGTCCAGCATGGTTTTACACTCATCTGTGCCTCCCATGGTTGTTTTTTATTTTAAAATATAGGCCTACCTCTGATCTCCCCAGCTACATTAAAAAATACATTCAATTAATTAAAAAAGCGGTGCGTAAAAAAGGGATGGTGATCACGAACCGCCCGACGCAAGGTGGTCGGTGGTTGAGCTCGACTCGACTGTCTTTTTTTTTTTTAGTTTGGACGAGAGAACACCATCCGTACAAATCCAGTCAATGCTCTTGACACAGCGAATTCCTCTCTATCCATGTTCCTGTCTGCGAGCAGCGCAGAGAGCCGAGAGAGAGAAGCTTAGATATTAACGGACCAGTAAATGGCTTTACCTTTTGCGCTTTTGCATTCGAGATTAGATGGGCCGACGGCGTCAGAGAGAGCAGCCCTCCCTGCCTGCCTGCAGAAAATAGATGTGTATCAAAACCTTTCTGTTTGTTTGTGTGGAATTGTCCAGTACACTAGAGACTGTGTACATACAGATAGCGGATTCAGCTACAGGTGTTTCGTATCAAACATCAGAACAAACCCACAGTATCCAGACAGAACACTCCCAACAACGTCAGCTCGCAACAAATAAATAATACCGCATCGAAAAGTCCATTAATGCCGTCGCTGTCTTCTTAGATGCACATCTGGATATCTGGATGGTGACGATTATATAAAAAAATAAAAGCTGTTAATGTCCAGGACTGAATCAGCTCAGCTCACCGTGAGAGACAGACCCATCCCGCTGGATCAAACAAATCAAACTGTGAAAAGGTCGATGGTTGGTTGGTTGGTTGGTTGTCTAAGCATCGTGTAGTTTTTTATTCTTCAGTAAGGGAGATGTCCACTTCGGTTTAAATACCATAAGCGCCTTGTGTGGTCACATGCACGCATAACAAGACCGGAGCTTTCAGATGTAGGCATCCTGTAACGTTGGAGAGAGCAGAGAAGCCTAGAGATCCACTGATTGGTTAGTGAGAAAACATCTCCAATGGATACGTATTGTGATTGGTTAGTTCTTATCCCACACACAACCCCCCTGCCCTAGGCTACTGTTTGCGGTGTTAGTGGATGCCTTTATTCAAGTGATGCTCATAGATGTAGAAGAGACGCTGAGATATTGACCCTTTTCCCTATATAGGCCTGGTCAAAAGTAACCCTTTATATGGAATAGGGTGACATTTCAGACTTAGGCATAATCCAATGATTATGATCCAGCAGCATTTAGCCTCCTTCATATGTTGTCAATCACTGCAGGGTTAAATAAAAGGAGATCCATTTAGAGTCATGTTCAGACTGTTATTTTCCCAGAGCCAGATCAAAGATCAATGGTCGTTTTTCACCAATGCAATACTTTCTGTTGTGCAGATTTGATTCCATTTCTCTTAACGTTTCCTTTAACTTTTAACTTTTGAAAGATTACTTTTTATGACTTATTTGTGTGTTATTTGTGTATTATTTGTGTGTTATTTGTGTATTATTTGTGTGTTATTTGTGTATTATTTGTGTGTTATTTGTGTGTTATTTGTGTATTATTTGTGTGTTATTTGTGTGTTATTTGTGTGTTATTTGTACCTGTGAATAATTACAGTACAGGGAAGCAAGTTGTTATGGATGATCTCTGCTGTGTGGAGGTGAGATCTGTCTGGAGGATGGACTGGTCTGTTATGGATGATCTCTGCTGTGTGGAGGTGAGATCTGTCTGGAGGATGGACTGGTCTGCTATGGATGATCTCTGCTGTGTGGAGGTGAGATCTGTCTGGAGGATGGACTGGTCTGTTTTGGATGATCTCTGCTGTGTGGAGGTGAGATCTGTCTGGAGGATGGATTGGTCTGTTATGGATGATCTCTGCTGTGTGGAGGTGAGATCTGTCTGGAGGATGGACTGGTCTGTTATGGATGATCTCTGCTGTGTGGAGGTGAGATCTGTCTGGAGGATGGACTGGTCTGTTATGGATGATCTCTGCTGTGTGGAGGTGAGATCTGTCTGGAGGATGGACTGGTCTGTTATGGATGATCTCTGCTGTGTGGAGGTGAGATCTGTCTGGAGGATGGACTAGTCTGTCTGGAGGATGGAGGCTTGACTGGTCTGTCTGGAGGATGGAGGATGGCCTGGTCTGTCTGGAGGATGGAGGATGGCATGGTCTGTCTGGAGGATGGAGGATGGCCTGGTGTGTCTGGAGGATGGAGGATTGTCCTTGTCTGTCTGGAGAATGGAGGCTTGACTGGTCTGTCTGGAGGATGGAGGAAGGCCTGGTCTGTCTGGAGGATGGAGGATGGCCTGGTCTGTCTGGAGGATGGAGGATGGCCTGGTCTGTCTGGAGGATGGAGGATGGCCTGGTCTGTCTGGAGGATGGAGGATGGCCTGGTCTGTCTGGAGGATGGAGGATGGCCTGGTCTGTCTGGAGGATGGAGGAAGGCCTGGTCTGTCTGGAGGATGGAGGATGGCCTGGTCTGTCTGGAGGATGGAGGATGGCCTGGTCTGTCTGGAGGATGGAGGATGGCCTGGTCTGTCTGGAGGATGGAGGATGGCCTGGTCTGTTTCTGCATTATTGCAGCGTTTGGAGCCTATTGATGGATCAGTGATGTGCTGTGGTATACTGTTAATGGACTGGAGCACAGAGGAGAGGAGGCTGGCAGGCCGCTCAAACATTGTTTAGCTGCGTCTCAAATGCACCCTATTCCCTATGTAGTGCACTTATTTTGACCAGAGCTCTATGGGCCCTGGTCAAAAGTAGTGCACTACATTGTGAATAGGGTACCATTTGGGAAGCAGCAATTGTTTATCTTGCATAAGACAACACCTGCTGAGAACGAGTTTATTATGAGCACTTACATTATTGGTTGCTGTTTGTGCATTTTCATTCAAAACACAGAAAGTCCTTAGTGGTGATGAAAAAATAATCATCTCCTTTTTGACAATGAATGAAAACCTGGAGCCTGACTCCCCTAATCATGTTAAACAGCTCTCCTCTCCTCAGTTAGCTACAGTCAGTGGACAACGGCAGGCCCGGTTTTCTAATAGGCTGATCTGAGGTCATGCAAACTCACATTCAAAGTCATCCGTTAGACAGTCAAGATCATGGATCTAAATTGTCAACTCACTCAAAACGTCCTATTTTTTTTATGGGCGGCTAAAACCATGCATTTGGTCAAACAGTGAAGTGCATTATCCTCATGATTCCTGTAATGAGGATGTCTGCCCAGCCCCTCTGCCTGTGATTCCTGTAATGGGGATGTCTGCCCAGCCCCTCTGCCTGTGATTCCTGTAATGAGGATGTCTGCCCAGCCCCTCTGCCTGTGATTCCTGTAATGAGGATGTCTGCCAGCCCCTCTGCCTGTGATTCCTGTAATGGGGATGTCTGCCAGCCCCTCTGTCTGTGATTCCTGTAATGGGGATGTCTGCCAGCCCCTCTGTCTGTGATTCCTGTAATGAGGATGTCTGCCAGCCCCTCTGCCTGTGATTCCTGTAATGGGGATGTCTGCCAGCCCCTCTGTCTGTGATTCCTGTAATGAGGATGTCTGCCAGCCCCTCTGCCTGTGATTCCTGTAATGGGGATGTCTGCCAGCCCCTCTGTCTGTGCCCTTGTTGCAGCCTGCTGCTGTGATGAGTGAGCCAGTCTCCTCTTCCTCCATGCACTTGAGAGAAAAATGTGGTGTGATCGTAGAACATTTTCAAATGCAATTGCATGAAAAACACAGCTTTGGGAGAAAAAAACACAGCTTTGGGAGAAAAAAACACAGCTTTGGGAGAAAAACACAGCTTTGGAAGAGAAAAAAACAAAGCTTTGGAAGAAAAAAACAGCTTTGGAAGAAAAAACACAGCTTTGGAAGAAAAACAGCTTTGGAAGCCTCTTCCCCTTGTCCTTGTTGAAGAGAGGAGTGTCTCAGCTTTCTGGAGGTATACTTTCTATTTCAAAACTCTCAATATTCCGCTCAATGGCAACTATTTTACAACCAATATATTTTATCTAGTTAATGTGTTTTGATTTTTCACTTCCTCAGGTGTTGATCCCCAAATTAATTAGCCTAAGATATAAGTTAGTGCCCATAAAGACGTATGTCATTCATCTCTATTGGAAATTATGAAGTTCTATTTTGACAGTAAAATATAGCAACTATAGTCTAATTGTCAACCCAAAATTCATGACAATCAGTGGATTAGGTTGCACATCATAATATCTTGAATCATGCATTCCTGCTTGGACGTGTTTAATGAAACAACCTTTTTCTTGCATACCTCAGTAGTCTGTCTATTATCCATCTGAATACAGCACTATGAATTACTGACTAAGATGGTTACTCAGGATTTGGGTCTGACCAAATCATGGGCTGATACTGTAACTATATCTTCCACAGATCATACTGTAACTGTCTCTTCCACAGATCATACTGTAACTCTCTCTTCCACAGATCATACTGTAACTGTCTCTTCCACAGATCATACTGTAACTGTCTCTTCCACAGATCATACTGTAACTCTCTCTCTCTTCCACAGATCATACTGTAACTGTCTCTTCCACAGATCATACTGTAACTCTCTCTCTCTTCCACAGATCATACTGTAACTCTCTCTTCCACAGATCATACTGTAACTCTCTCTCTCTTCCACAGATCATACTGTAACTCTCTCTTCCACAGATCATACTGTAACTGTCTCTTCCACAGATCATACTGTAACTCTCTCTCTCTTCCACAGATCATACTGTAACTGTCTCTTCCACAGATCATACTGTAACTCTCTCTCTCTTCCACAGATCATACTGTAACTGTCTCTTCCACAGATCATACTGTAACTCTCTCTTCCACAGATCATACTGTAACTGTCTCTTCCACAGATCATACTGTAACTCTCTCTCTCTTCCACAGATCATACTGTAACTGTCTCTTCCACAGATCATACTGTAACTGTCTCTTCCACAGATCATACTGTAACTGTCTCTTCCACAGATCATACTGTAACTCTCTCTCTCTTCCACAGATCATACTGTAACTGTCTCTTCCACAGATCATACTGTAACTCTCTCT